ATATATATATATATATATATATATATGTGTGTGTGTGTGTGTGTGTGTGTGTGTGTGTTAAAAGTTGAAAAACCATTGTCTAGGACAGTTAAATTACTGTTGCTGCTCATGCTTTCACAACCATGAAAGACAAACAAAGAAACAACAGAAACAAATGCAAAGGACATGTACAAAATCTACTAAATAGCAAAAGTTACAAATATAGAGATATTTGTAAGAAGCATTACAAAATATTATCCCTTTAAAATCTACTGTATCATATTTAATATGCAAATGACTAAACTTGTATGCAATCTATTACAGACCTTCTGTCTCGCAAATTTGGTCCTCTGGATAAAACTGGGGTGTTTTTTTCCTCCTCGAGTATGAGCTCCATATTTTCTTATTTTTATATTATATGAGCCATAAAAGCCTGATGTGTCAAATATTATATTTAAAGGGATAGTTCACCCAAAAATTTAAATTAACCCATGGCTTACTCACCCTCAAGCCATCCTAGGTGTATATGACTTTCTTCTTACAGACAAATACAATCAGACTTATATTAACAAATCCCCTGACTCTTCCAAGCTTTATAATGCCAGTGAATCTAGTTAGGTTTAGAGGTAGGAGTGGGATTAGCGACTATATATATATTAAAAAAATCTTTTTAATGCTATATTGTACTAAAATGGTAATTTCCCTGCATATTTAGGTCAATTAGATTTGATATCTTTTTTATTGTGGCTATAAAATGGGTAGCTTTAAGTTTGGGGGTAGGTTAAGGCGTCTAAAAATCTAAATCGCTGATAAAAATGCATTGATACAAACATCTTAATGATATAAAAGATTTGTAAACATTTTCCGATTTTCAGCTGTAAATACGTAGCAATTTTAATTTTTAATCATTGTAATACGTACAAAAAAATTATGTTTTGTGCTTGGAAATGTTACATACTAATGTCTATGTATAAACAATGAGACCAGGCTGAAAGTGCTCCATTCGGCTCCAGGGGGTTAATAAAGGCCTTCTGAAGTAAAGCGATATGTTTGTGTAAGAAAAATATCCATATTAAAAATTTTATAAATCACAATCTCTTGCTTCCTCTAACTGTCATCACTTGTGTTCACGAGAGAGTTGCGTTCCAGCGGATGACGTAGGACATAGGCATAGTAAAAGCTCCAGTGAGAAAATGCTAGTCTCGTGAGAACCAAGTTTTGTTTACAGCAAAGGAAAACCAGTCTCCTCTTGGCTTATATAGAAATCCTCCGACATTTTTCTTTACAAATCCTTGTTTTGTACTTCTAATTCATGACCAGTGCTCTCTTTGCTCTCTCCTCTGCGCTTCCACTTTCGTCACTTCTCACCAGAGCTTACATCCTACAGCATCCGCTGGAATGCCACTCTGAGTGCGTGTATGACAGTTAGCGGAAGCTAGAGATTACGGTTTATAAAGTTTTAAATATGGATATTGTTCTTGCACAAAGGCATCACTTCACTTCAGAAGGCCTTTATGCACTTTTTATGATGGATGGACGCACTTTATTTTTTAATTAAATTAAATTCAAGTTTATTTGTATAGCTCTTTTCATGATACAAATCGTTGCAAAAATAACAATGGAAACTAATCCCGTATTTTCTAATAATATTACCAAGGTGCAACATGTATATTGAAAATAGCAGAGGACCTAGGACAGATCCTTGTGGCACTCCATATTTTACTGGTGATAATTAGGGCTGTCAAAATGGCTGAAAAACTAAATTGGAATTTTGTGCTTAAATATTATCAAAATTCGAATTATATTCAAATTTAAAATGCATAATTTCAGTTAGGATAAAGAAAAGCTTTTGACTTTTCTCCCGAGGCCACAAGAGGGCGCACTGAGCATAAGATAACATGACTATCTGTGAAACAAAGTGCATAATGTTTAAAATAATGTTTATAAACCAATTATGATTAATTAAGTTGCTTAAACAACTATAAACAAAACAGCATCATGTATGTATTCATAGTTTAATACAAAGGGCCGAAAGCCAATCACACAGAGAACATTCATTTAAAAACACGAACTGGAGTGAAATGGGGGGAGGGGGTTTGGGGGGGGAAACCGCCATTAAGTCTTGAGATATTTTTTTTTTCAGAGTTGAACTTGCATTCATTTTTACATGGCTTTCTAAACATGCAGTTCTCTTCTGCGAGACGCGAGTGCAACGGTGATAGATGTCCCTCTAGAAAATGCACGAAATATGCGTTCTGTGTGAACGGCTTGGTTTCAGTTTTGACGTAAACAAGTTCTTCTTTGCATTGATGTTCTCTTTCCCCGCAATATTTGTAATTAACAACACAGCAGCGCCGCATCTAGTGGCTTCAACTGGATAGACTAACAAAACATTAAAATGCAATGACACTTACATCGTCATCGCATCTCGTGCGCCACCGATAAGGCTGCCTCTTTAACGCACACCTAAAATTCGAATGCAACGTTTTTGCATTCGAATGTGGATTTTTATTTTAAATTCGATGAATATTCGAAATTCTAATATTTTTTTGACAGCCCTAGTGATAATTGAGATGACTCCCCATTTAAATGAACAAAGTGGTAGCGATCAGACAGGTAGGATCTCAACCATCTTAAAGCCTGCCCTTGAATACCTGTATAGTTTTGTAATCGATTTAATTATGTCATGATCTATAGCAGGGGTCGGCAAGTAAGTTTGGCATCGGGCCAAAAAAAAATTTCGCCACTAGATGGCGGGCCAGAACATAGTCAAAGGATAATTTAAGAAATTAATTGATGAAAAATGCAACTAGAATTGCCTGTGCTCTGCCTTCGCTCCGCATCTAATGTATTTGTTTGTTTGAAATATCACAGTTCTGTTCATAACGTATATTAAAAAATAAAATAAATAAAATAACAGGAGAGTTTCAAAGTGGCTTATTGGAACACTAGTGTGCAAACTTTTTCCTACCACATAACAAGCTAATAACATGGTTTTCGGCATTAAAAGGTATAATTGCTGCTTTTTGCAGTGTAAATTTTGTTTGTGATGAAAATAACATTTACATTTTTTTTATTTTACCTACGGATCGATGCATTTCTTACATATTTCTGCTCATTCGAAATTGGAGACAGATGAAGTAGCACTGTAAAATTACATGTGTTTGAATGCATTATTGAGAGAGCGATTTCGTGTGAATAAGTCTTGTAGTACTTGTTAAATCATGCTTTCAGCTAAAAAATATTCAGTATAGAAGGAACAAACAAATTCCTTGAGAACTATAACTTCCCGCTCATGTCCATTGCCGTCATCATAGCCTTTACATTCTTTCTGATTTGAGTGATCCTTCTTTATCAAGCTAGCTAAATGTTTAACATGTAAATTCTTGCTAAATATGCAGATATATTATGGGCCATTGGCATGAATTGTACTCGTGATGGAGCGGTGGAGTGCTCCTGGAGCGAGTGAAAACCACGACGCTCCGACTTTTAAAAAATCCGCTCCTCGCTCCATTCAAAATCACACCGCTCCGCTCACATACTCTGATTGTGAGTAACTGTTGCTGTCATGACAGATCTATTTCAGAACCAGCCGCTATGACTGCGGGCGCGGGCCAGATATTATTGCTGGCGAGCCAGTTTTGGCCCGCGGGCCGCCTGTTGCCGACCATTGATCTATAGTGTCGAACGCAGCACTAAGATCAAGTAAAACTAGCAATGAGATGCAGCCTTGGTCTGACGCAAGAAGCAAGTCATTTGTAATTTTAACAAGTGCAGTTTCTGTGCTATGGTGGGGCCTGAAACCTGACTGAAATTCTTCATAGAGATCTTTTTTTTTTCAGGAAGGAGTATAATTGAGCAGACACATCTTTTTCTAAAATTTTAGATATAAGCGGAAGATTTGAAATGGGTCTGTAATTTGCCAGTTCACTAGGATCTAGTTGTGGTTTCTTAATAAGTCATTACTATTAAATGTGTTTGAATAGTTTTGGGACGTGACTTAAAGATAACGACGAGTTAATAATATTGAGAAGCGGTTCTTCTGCTACAGGTAACAACTCTTTCAGTAATTTAGTGGGTACAGGATCTAACAGGCATGTTGTTGGTTTAGATGCAGTGATAAGTTTATTTAGCTCTTCCTGTCCTATAATTGTAAAGCACTGCAGTTTATATTTTGGTGCGATGAATGAAGCTGAAGTATTATACGCTGTAGAATCTACATTTGCTATTGTAATTCTGATGTTATCTATTTTATCAGTGAAGAAATTCATAAAATCATTACTACTAAACTGTGAGGGAATATTTAGATCGGGTGGCGTCTGGTTATTTGTTAATCTAGCCACTGTGCTAAATAAAAACCTTGGATTGTTTTGGTTATTTTCTATGAGTTTGTGGATAGGGCTGGAACAATAGTTCTGCCCGGACGATAACGCGGAGCCATATAGTTAATATCAGTAATACGCAGCATGCACGATACAAGGAAATGGTCAGTAACATCATCACTTTGAAGTACGATATCTATATCAGTAAGATCAATTCCATTCGATATAATTAAAATGTAGCGTACGATTAAAACGATGAGTGGGCCCGGTGAAACCTTTATGCACTTTTATTGGACTTCATAATCTCAACCCCCATTCACTGCCATTATAAAGCTCGGAAGAGCCAGGACATTTTTTTATGTAACTCTGATTGTATTCATCTGAAAGAAGAAAGTCATATACTCCTAGGATGACTAGAGGGTTTGTAAATCATGGGATAATGTTAATTTTTGGGTGAACTATACCTTTAACAATAAACACATGCAAACTTTTAAAATATTAGCAAAATATTTTGTGTAAAGGTTCAAAGAAAAAAAAAAGATTTTTCTGAATATGATTTCATATGTTAGGCTTTACAGGGATAAGATGTGTAGTAAACCAACACAGATGTCAATGCAGTGCAAAAATTATATTTGTGCAAAATCAAAGTTTCTAGACATTGTGTGTCTGAGTCAGATGCTGAGGTAGTGCAAATATAATGAGGATGTACAAAATGTTAACAGTAAAGCGCAGAAGATCACATTAACAGTAGTGCAATACAGTATGAGGTGCTTACAATGTCAGCAGTAGTGTACAAGAGCAGTGTTTTGATTCTATAACAATTCTGTGATAATAATGATTCCATAACAAACCAAATTTGCGTGGAATGGAGGCATGTTTCCACTGATAATGTATAAATGTATAGAGTAGTGGGCTTGGTCAAGTTGAACTGCAGGCACAGTAAATAATGAAAAAGACGCATCGCCTGCCTGTTATGACAAACAACTTAATGAAGCAACACATAACAGAATCATAACTCAACCTCAGTCAAAGCTGACTCGCCTGTTTGTTTAACCTTCCCATGAGCCCCTGCTTATACCAGTCACAGGAGTCCACACACTGGAAGCAAGACAAGACTCAAACACATTCACAGATGATCTGCATTTGACAGAAAAAAAAAAATAAAATACCCCCTGGCCAGCCGTATCTGTTTTTCCCGCAAGGAATAGACATTGTGTGTCTGAGTCAGATGCTGAGGTAGTGCAAATATAATGAGGATGTACAAAATGTTAACAGTAAAGCGCAGAAGATCACATTAACAGTAGTGCAATACAGTATGAGGTGCTTACAATGTCAGCAGTAGTGTACAAGAGCAGTGTTTTGATTCTATAACAATTCTGTGATAATAATGATTCCATAACAAACCAAATTTGCGTGGAATGGAGGCATGTTTCCACTGATAATGTATAAATGTATAGAGTAGTGGGCTTGGTCAAGTTGAACTGCAGGCACAGTAAATAATGAAAAAGACGCATCGCCTGCCTGTTATGACAAACAACTTAATGAAGCAACACATAACAGAATCATAACTCAACCTCAGTCAAAGCTGACTCGCCTGTTTGTTTAACCTTCCCATGAGCCCCTGCTTATACCAGTCACAGGAGTCCACACACTGGAAGCAAGACAAGACTCAAACACATTCACAGATGATCTGCATTTGACAGAAAAAAATAAATAAAATACCCCCTGGCCAGCCGTATCTGTTTTTCCCGCAAGGAAACTCAGTATTAGCTGTTATCGTCAGTTACGACTTTATGAATCATTTGCAAAATATGAAACTGGGTGTTGCTATAAAGCTTTGAGTATATATTGAACTGTAGCTCATCATCAGAATCACTGCTGACACTTCACACATGTAACAGATGGTCTGATGGACATTTATTGGAGGATCGGCTGTGTTATGAGACCTGCCCTCGGATACACGCGCACATACGAGCTTGTATAATCAGACTTAGCCAAGGTCAGCTGGCCGTACTGATTATTGAGATGTGATGTGGTCGGCAAAGAGATCCTTCATGTCTTGTTATATCTAAAACTAAAATTAAACACATCTGTAATTTTAAAGGGGTCATTTAATGCGATTAAAATTTTTCCTTTCTCTTTGGAGTGTTCCAAGCTCTTGGTGCATAAAGAAGATATGTAAAGTTGCAAAGACTAAAGTCTCAAATCCAAAGAACTATTCTTTATAAAAGTTAAGAGTCAGCCACACCTACCTAAAACGGCTCGTTCTAACACGCCCCCACATATCTACATCACTATGTGGGAAGATTTGCATAACGCCGCCCAAATGTTCACGCAAAGAAAGAAGGAGTAACTTTTATTCTCGCTGT